AGAGAAAAACTTAATTCACCACAAAGGATTCCCTCCAATTCAGGATGTCTGTCTTAACTGTACTATTTATCATTCTTAAAGAAAAACAAGACAGGGCGCAACACAGAAACTAGGGCTACTCAAACTAAAATAACAGCACTTAGTCCATTAACTAAAAAAGGAAATCCCACCATCTGCTATTACTGAAGCCAAATGTTAAATAGAGCCAGCTCTTGCCAAGGCTCTTCTCTGAAGATGAAAGGTGTTTATAAAGCACCTCAGCCCTTCCTCATGTCAGTTCTCAGCAACCTGTCCCATGCATGAATATTTAATGAAGAGCCCTTTCTTGGATTTCTTTGTCAAGTCAGAATCCTGAAATCACAGAAACGATCATCTCAGTGAAGGAAAATACTTTCATTTGGGAAAAATGTTGATTGTGTATAACATAGGATGTACAGATGCATTAAAACAGGAATTTCTAGCCTGACTGCAAAACTACAACTTACAGAATCATTCCAAAAGATTAATGATGAACATGTAAATCTATATATAAAGTCACCCCCCTACTCCACATAATAAAATGCTACATTTTATCTAGTTTTTGTAAATTTAGTAGTCCTACAGATGTGACGTCGAAACATCCCATAGGATGCATAAGTACGCACAGTAAGAACCAGGACTAAACACACAATTTTTGCAAATGCACAGTGGGTAACGTGTCTGGTGACAGGAGAGTAGTTGAACTAGTCATAGTCTTAATTATAGCACTATGAAAGATTATCAAAACAGCTGCAATACATTAATTACGTTTGCCTGTTAAGTCCATGTATTTACAGAATTATACATATAGCCAGTTAGGTACATTAGATTTTAGAACAGGAAAAGGGGATGCATTTCCACAAACACACACACACAAAAAACACTAAACAAAAGCCAAAAAATAATTGGCATTGGCAAAGGTAACGCTGAGGAGAGGCAGCAAGTAGATGCTGTCATTTAGAACACTGACTTTTCAAGTTATGAGTATCTGATTAATTTTCTTCTTTCTGGATGGATTTTGAAGGGTTTTGAGGTGTAGGGATGGTGGTTGTTCTTGTCTTGGTTTTTGCTGTTCCAGGACAGGTAGTATAGCACTGGATGGAATTAATCTCAGTTTAGTATTCTAAAGCCAAGTATCTAACCAGAGCTAAATCATAGCTTCCAGTCACCAGAGAGGCTCTCCAGAACATGATTCATTCAACTTTCCTTAAATATCTGTCTTAGGACGAGATTAATAATTCTCTAGAGGTGCCCAAATTCCTCCCTTAAAACTAGAAGTCTAACTTTCAGAGTGCTAGCATTCAGTGAAATGAATTCTACTCACTGTCTGCCACAACTAGCAGACATCTTGTATCTGGAAAAGCTGTTACCAGAGCTCCAAGGAAAGAATCAGGCAGTAAATACAAAGGTCTTCTTCATTTTTACTTTTTTTTTCCCCTGCCCAAAATTTGGACCTCCAAGTATATGGGAATTATAAGGTCCAAACTCCTATGCAAAACTGTTCTTCCATATAAGTCCTCCACATACTTAATCATGTGCATAATTTAAACAGAAACCCCATCCATTTTCATAGAGTTATCTAGCCAGACAGCTCAGAATTATCAATACAAGTAAGTACCCTGAACTGACGCCTTCAAGAGTTCATGCTTTAAGTGGTAAAATTATATTAATTTTTAAAATGACCAAAAGAATAACCTCTCTCTCTTCATGCCATCTCACACTCATTTCATACAGATAGTATGGAAGCCTCCCTTTAGTTTAAGCACAGGAGCACTTCAGAGCAAGCCTTTTCTGGTTTTGTTTTTGTTTTGGACATTACTGGGTTTTTAACATCTATTGCCAAAGCACATCCTTTACAATGCTTCAGAAAGACAAGATCAAAGGACAAGATAAAAAAAAAATGGTATATTCTTAAAAGCAGAATTCAGATAACGTGGCTGAGGGATGCTCTAGTGTTGGAGATGACGACCCAATTCCTGAATAATTAAATTCTTCCAACGGAGGGATTGCCACCGTTCATTTTGGGCTAAATGAAACTAGACTAAGTCTCCCTCTCTAGGACAGCTTCACATGAGACAGCCCACAGTGGTTACCGGACTTTGCATTCACACCCCACCACACCCTGTAACACTTTTCACATGTGGACAAACCAGAAGGCACTTTGGCAAAGCAACACAAGAAATCCAGCACAACTCCTGCCCAGGCTTTTCCTGCTGCACAGGTGGGGAGGAACTCAGTCTCCAGGTACAGTAAAAGAACAGTTGAAAACAGAACTGCTATGAAATGTCTTTTGCTATTACCTTCTCCTCACAAAAGTAATTCCTACATGAAAAACCTTGAGATTTATACATATATAAGTAAGTATGTACACACATTTTAAAAATGTTCGTATATACACAAACGTGTATATGTAATTTATACATACATATGTATAAACAGACATACACACATAAGTATAAAATAGCAGAACTGAAAGGACAGTGATCTATTCTTGCTTCTTTGTGATGTATAAGGAATGTTTAAAAGCATGTTGTTTTCTTTATCCTGGAAATATTAGAAATATCAAGTGTGGTCTATCCTCTCTTTGCTGGAAGACTTCTTGGGACATATAGAACCATAAGCTAAATGAGCTTCTTATCCTCTGACTGAAGGTTAAAGTCCACAACTCTAGATAGAAGTCTTTCCCAATTATTTCTCAGCTATTTGAATTAATTATGTGTTAGCAACAGCCAGGTTTTAAATAGTCCAAATAAAAAGTAGACTTCGATTTATCTTTCAAATGACAATAGAGAATTCCTGACAAAACCAATTTCAAACAGAAGGTACAACATAAGAAAAAAAAATCCTTTAGTATGAACAACATATCAATTTAAACCTCCTTTATACTACCTAAAAAGCAAGAGAATGAAATCCTTTACTCATACATGATTACAAAACCACTTGATTCACTGATGCTGTAGAAGTGAAACTGTATTCTTTACCAGGTTTATCAGTTTGAAGGCACAACGGCTATCACTTCATCCACATTGCATTCTATTTACAGTGAAAAACAAGAAGGATCTCTAAGAAGAAAAAGGAGATAAAGAGATGCACCCTGAGAAGTGAAATTTCAGAACAAAAACATTTGTTTTGAAATACTGTTCTTTGTAAACTCCCATTATCTGATCTGTGTTCTCCTACAACTAGGACAATAATGTTTAATACTCAACTACAATGAAAAATATTACTTGTAGATAAAAAAAGTTAAAATTTAAATTCCTAGAAAAATAAATCAACCTAAACCTGACTGAAAGAAATGAGGTCTCATACAGAATCACACCAAAGCTGACATCTGTCAATGTGAAAAAAAAGTAGTAAATCAATCTAAATATCTCTGACAATGTCCACTTTTCTGAGAAAAAAAAAAACAAAAAAACAAAAAAACCTGGAATGGCATAATGTAGTTGGAAATCCCATAATGCCATTTGTGTGGAGGAAAAATCAAAAACCCAACTGTGCATGCCCTTCTTTAGATCTGGAATTCCCAAAAGATTCTGTAAAATTAAAAAATCTGAAGAAAAAAAGTCTTCCTATAAAATCAGATGAATGTTCTGTAGCTGTTTCATGACACGGTTTCTAAAGTATTGGCACCAGCACAAAGAGTTCAAAACGTTCATTCAGGAGTCACAGAGATCGTCAAATCTTTAATGATTTGTAGCAGTCCTCTGGTAGCGGTCGGTTATTTACTGCATCAACTGAAATCTTCTTTGCCAGTGATCTTCAGTGCAGTAATGTACTTCTGCCAGACAATATAATTTTTCTTCTTATTCCAGTAGGTAATAAGAGCCATCAATACAAGAATAGTGGAACCAGTAACAAATGGCAGGCCTATTTCATGGTCCGTATTCATCAACAGTGGTTAAAAAGGTAAAATTCTAAACTGAAGCTGTACATAGCAACATACATAGCAGTGGTAAAAACAAATAGAGAAGAACTTTATCCAAAGAATTGCAAAAGGAAGAAACCTCTAGAATTTGTCCATCAACACACTTTTCTTTCTCCAGAGGCTAGAGTGTTAAAGAGAGTGCAACAGTACTTTGAGAGATCAACTCTAGGAAAAAACAATAAAACTCCCAAACCAAACCCAACAGTACAGTTTTGTGATTATTAAATCACCAAATCATACTGCCCTTGTTTCAAACCCACTCTATTTTCAGTGCTGTTTGACTGCGCAGAGATGTTTGGTTCTACACTTGATGGTATATTTGATCCCAGTGTAAGGGACAGTGACTAATGCATTATTTGAGGTATTATTTTTTATGGTACTCTGCATGATAACCAGAAAAGAAAATTGCGCTGGAGTTTTCTACACATGACCAGTTACAACACTTAGTATCTGGCTCAAACTTTACCTCCACTGCCAAGAAGCAGCTGGCAATTTTCTCTTTCATTTCTGCTCAAAGTTTAGACAGAAGGTTCTTGCATTTACCTGTTATGTCACTTAGGCTGGACTCTAAAACATCACTACATCTACCTCAGGTGGAGGAAAGGAGAAAAATGTATCAGATAGAATACACTGCCCCAAAAACGAAGATGACGAAGTATCTTTTCAATCCATTCTTATACACACTTAAACAGGTTTTCAAACAACTAATTTTAGGCCACATCACAGCATCCTACGCTGCAGGCCAAACCAGAGTGCTACAGTATCTGTGTATGTATATGCAAATACATCTGTATACATTTATATATACACACACAAACACACATACATGAAAAAGCACCCATCTTTTCCTTACTGTTAAATACTGAACTTCTGCTTTCACCTGGGTATTAACATAGTTTATTGTGTGTAACATCCTAGAAAGGGACATTTAAGAAGACATTATTCATTTTCTTCTCATTAAAGCCACACATATGGCTGATATTTGAAAACATGCAGTGCTACCAATTAACATACAGTAAAACAACTCTTAGGTGCAATATCAACTCTTTAAGAAATGCATAATATATTTAAATGTATTTTACCCACTAGCGTAGATAATTAATACTTTCCACTATTTCATAAGGGGTTTATTATTCTTAAAAAACGTCAGCACAAATTCACAGGAAACAACTCTTGTCAAACAAATTCCACAGCAGCATATGTAGTGAGTTACTGGGTGAAACTCTTTTTTATGAGGACATCAGGAAAGTTGGCATTCAGTTCTAGGACAACTCTATTATCAATCTGAGAACAGAAGGACACATCAAGTAAAGAAAGATCTTTACAAGATTCCAGCAATTTTCTTAAAGATGCAGGGCTTACCATCCTCGTCCCTGTTTAAAAACAAACAAAAAAAGAAACAAAATATAAATTTACTGAGAATAGTATTTTTTTAAAAGCTGCTAATACTGTATCACAAAAGAATTGCTACTATAACACAATTTTTAGTTAGGTTATTTCAATTAGATTTCAAATTAAAGACTTTGCAGAGACATTGCTCAATTTTTACCTTGAAGAAGCCTATTCTCTTTTCTTAACTCAACTGCTTTAACTCCATCATCTTCTATCAGGAGGCAACTTTACAACTCCAAAGGGAATTTTGAACTACAGAAGCCAAGTAGTATGAAGCTACAGGACTTCCCAGTGACCAGATGCTGGGCTTTGGCAGCAAGCACACCGTGGTACACTACACTTATGCTGTCACAGTTCTCCTGCTCCCAGCACTGACCAGCACAGCACATGAGCTATTGTGGACTACTCCAAGTCCAAACACAACAGCAAAGCTTCTAGGACTCTAGAGTGCGTGTGGGTATTATGCACATGCAGGTGCAGTTGCTCAAGAGACTATCAATCTTACCTATACATATATATATATAACAGAAAGCACGCTATTCACCCCTGCTAAAAACGTGGCCACAGTGGCTGAACTCCTAAGTGTCATACAGGGTCAGATCAAGCATGGGATTCAGTCAGAAATAAAACAAATAGGTGTTTATAAGCATGCATCCACATTACAGCTGAAGGAAATTCAGTCAGTACAGTCCATGGTGCTTAGCACATGATTCAGCTGCCTGGTCACAGGGGTACAATTAAGCTGCCTGAAGTGCCCCTTGGGGTTCCTCGCACAGCAGTGGCAGACAGGACACTGGACCCAGAGGAAGAGATCCATCCCTTACTGGAACAGCTGGAAGCCAGGCAGGTTACCCTGGGCAACTGAACAAAGCCTGGATGTCTACAGTGGACTAAATTGCTCATCAAGCCCTCCTGGCTCTAAAGGGAGTTTAAACATCTGATGTGACTGCAAACACCTGCTGGCAGACACTTCAACTTAGCTCCATCTTGAAGCTGAACTGCACCCCAAAAACCAATCTAGTCTGGGATCTTGACTATGGCCAGGGCCAATACTGTTTACAGAAAAAAAAAAAATAAATATCGGATGACAAGAACTATGTAGTGCACTGAACACAAGGTCAGTAACTGTGTATCGAGATCTTATGGTGTTTCCTCCATTTCTTTCCTAAGAAATTCTGACTTTCTCTTTTTGCCTGTTAGAATGATACTGAGCAATAAGCTGATGCTTTCAAAAAACAGCGCGCAGGAATTTTTTCCTACAGAAGAGAAGTAATATAAAACCATGCTCCCATAAACTTAATATTATTTTGCTTCGTGTAATTACTTTCCACTTGAAGGAACAGTCTCCCTCCTGCTTTATCATCTGTTTACTAAATATCACAAGATCACTCAGCAATTTTTCAGTGTTAAGTTTTTGGTTTTAAGATTCTCCTAGCCTGAATACCTGTGCATTACCCCCTGGTACAGCATTATTCACACCTTGCCCTGAATTACTTATAAGCAGATCAGTACAGACCCTTGATGACCATAGTAATGATGTAACTTCATTGTGAAAAAGAGATGATACAGTCTTGTCCTCTGTTGGCTTTGAAACACTCATAATCCAGGAGAAGACAGCTAAATTATAAAAGCAGAATAACCTTGGCTAAAACTTTTGAAAATCCAGTCCTCCAGGGACTCAGTGCTCACCTTCACCAAGAATTCTGAGGAATTCTGAAAGACTGGAGAGGTGTAACTATACTATTCTCAGAGAGGATGCAGCTCTCCAAAATACCACAATGGCCTTCATGTCCACTGACTGACTGACTCTTATGGCTGTAACTGGTTTACACATAGCAAAACATGATCTTACTGTTTTGCATCTTCTAGCTTGCATCTTTTACAGAAGATTATGCCATGTTTGTAACCCATCATTTCTCTAGTGTTGAGGCTGATTTAGAGCGACAGATCACATACCAGAAATTACTTCCCCAGCCCTGTATTTGAGCTCTGCATTTAGAAGTGCTGCATAAATACCATTTAGTCCAAACAATTTATTACTGTTCAATGTATTGATTTGTTCAAAAGCTTTCTGTACTAGCATTCCAATTTAAGGCAGCTCTCCAGCCTGCTCTGGAAAGAACGGCTCTGATGTAGCAGCCTACTTGATCCTCCTTGCCATGAACACTAATGGACAGACAAGTTTTCCTGCAATGGCCTTTCTGCATCCAAGTGATCCTTCACATCTGGAGTACCTACCAACCTCAGTGGCTCTGCTGTAATTTTCTTCTAACATATCTGAAATACAGTTTTAGCCTTTACCTTTAGCCAATAGTTCCTTAAACTCATACTACCTTACTGTGATTTTGTTTCAGTTTCTAGAGTTTATCTTCCTCTTTTCTTTCTCTGAAAAGGATTAATTTCCAGAAAGATGCTTCTGTTTTTAGTAACCTCCTGTACTCCTCTGCATAAGCAAGGGGGTATCCAAGTGTTGTCTTCACTTCTTCTGTGGTGGCCTCTCAGATTAGCTGCTTTGAGACATCATTTAACATCACCTGAAAACAGTCTTTGATATTATGCCCCCAAATTTTACCTTACCTACACAGAGGTAATCAAAGCTTGTCATTGCTAATGTGATTTTTAACTCCCTTATCATCAGATGATCACTGTCATCACCACTGTCTGATGGTTGATCTAACAATCCCAATAGCCATACACAGAAATCCTGTAATACGCTTCAGTTATCACTTCACTTCATACATTTCACCATAGTACCACTGTCCTACCATCAGATCTGCTCTACCATTCCAACAGAAACTCTAGGAACAACACATTATGCTACTCATCTGTTTTCCACCGAGCCTTAAAATTGCTACTGCATCAGCACCTTTATTTAAAACCAGTCTCAGTTACGCATCACAGTTTTTACGCTTCAAGATCCAAATGTGTGCTTCTACAAAAATGCTCGATCTAGATGCCTAGCCACAGATTTTTTGTGTAGGATGTTCTTCATTCCTTCCTACCTGAACTTGGACAGTTCTCCTACTGTTTCATCTAAGACTTAAGACTTTTAATGGATTTGTAACTAACTAGGCCATCCAAAATTACACGCTTTACTCCACCTGTTCCTTTTTTCCTCATCAGATTTACAATTTTATATTAGGAAATAACTTTTTCTGAAAGCTAAAAAAGCCAGCAATCTGGTTGGGGTCTGGTTATTCACAGCACAGGATAAGCAAACAATCTGCAGTCTTGTTTTTATTTATACAATGTGCAGTTAGTGATGTATCTCTCTTAAGAGCACATTAGAAGGCATTTCCGAAGTAATACAGCACATTTTCCTTTGCTTTTGAAAGGCTGACAATGTTATCCTGCTAGTTACCTACACAGTGCATTTTTCTACAGTTTGGGGGCTTTTGGACCTTTGATGTTCACTACAATTTTTCCTACATGGTCTAATCAGCCATTTCTCACAATGAATACATAACCACTACATTAAAATCTGCTGTTTAATTTTGTTGTTCAGTTTATTCTCTGGAAAAAAATTCTCCAGTGTTCCTTTTGCAAAAGGCATTTCCAAGAAATCCCTTCTTTGCTAGAACAATTACGCTTATTAGCGGTAAATGATTTAATTTATATCTATTGTATATCCAACTTTTCAAATTCTAGAGCTGTTTAGGAGACATATATATGATGGGTATAAAAATTGTCAGAGCTTCAATTTCTATGACAAGGGATACTACTACTACACACCCAATAATATTTAAGAGTAGAGACCCTGGAAATATCTAGCACTATTCCCTCAAACATTCTTACTTTTTCTTTCCTCCCCTAGACCAGCCAAATTAGGCTTTTATTCTTTACATTTCACTCAAGCTACAGCACACAACGCAAATTCAAAATTTTAACGTGCTACACATTTTCATGTTTGAATTGACTAGCTATGTGTTGATGCTCTCAAGATAAAGCTGAAAATTTTGACAGCTGGCAAGGGGGCAGTTGGGTTTTCTGTTGCTCAGGAAGATGTGGGAGGTGTTGGTATGTAGACAGGAATACATGAATTTTGTGGTAACAAGGGTGTCTACTTTTCATTACTCTTTTTGTGCAGAATAGAGGCAGTCAGGACTTTTGGGGAGTGAGGTTAAGATGACTTATTCTCCACCCTTTACAGCAGCTGGTAGCCCCACACCAACAGAACTAAGCAGCTATACAATGTGCAAGAAAAGCTTCTGGCACTACAAATTCAGGTTGTCATCTGACTTGTCACACTGCTCAACGCTGATCACGGTTTGAAGACTAGATTTTAACCACAGGTCTAGAGGTGACCACTTAACTTTTGATAGCACTGGAATATGTACTCCATCAACTACAAAACTGTCAGATGATCACAGCTGGACCATAGGGTGGAAACCTGTCATACCAGTCACTGGAAAAGTTGTGGGCAGAGAAGGAAATGATACTTGTAAAAGCAGGCAGCTCAGTATGCAATGGGTAAAAGAAAGCTTAGAACTAAAACGTCAAGAAGCACACCCTCGTACTCAGTGACACACTTACATGATGCTTCCTTTCCTAGATCTGTGCTATAATACAGCAGATATGGACCTAACCCATGACATCCTTTTAGGCAGAAATTTACTTTCTAAAGTATGTTTTACACACCACAAACACCACCCATCAAACAGTGCTTTATATGGACAAGTAAGTTTATGGAGCCCTTGAAAACTGGCAATTTTCATCTTCTGCAAAGTCCTCTGATTCTGTAAGAAGGGATAAGGATTCTGTAAGGAGGAAATGATAATAACAGAGAGGTAGAGGAAAGTAACGGACAGATGGGTAGCAAGCTTCAGGACCTGCCACCTGAAAACAGGGTATATATAACATTCCTTTTGTAATACATGAATGACACACAGTTCAACAAGATTTCTTTCAGAGGCTTAAGACTCCTCCAGTCCTGAAGCTATTGTGATGATAAATAATCTCTAACTGAAACAAGAACTTTTCCCTGACAAGTTTATAAGTTCTAACAAGTACAGCCAGAAACCAGCACACTGTCAGTGCTGGTGACCACAGCGCAAGGTAAGACATTCCAATCCCTACTTAAGTGCCTGTGTATAGCAAAAAAACCTCGAGGTTTTACAGAGCTTTGTTGAAGCAAAAGAAGTTCCCTTACAGCACGCACTGCTAACCTAGCAGCAATACTTCTACACCCTCCACAATGCGTGTAACAAGGCAGACATTTCCGTACTCAGGAGAGGACAAAGGATACAATGAGAGCACCTCTCCTTCATTCACATCACAGAGAAGACCCACTGTTCAAGGTTACTCTTGCAAAGCTGAGCACTGACCTCAGGCCTTTAACAGCTTCAGGCCTGTTGTCACACTTCTTCAAAAGGATAAAAACATATTAAGCATTTATGTAGCTTACAGTAATAGGATGGCCCTACATCAGCTGCCTAAAGTTAGAGCACATACAGAGATTTATGACTTTCTTGATACTCCTGCACTGTGAGAGACTGGCTCTTTAGTTCAGACAACAGAGACTTCTGCACTTACATGGGAACACTGGCAGCTCTGCCTCCAGATGACCCAATGTGGTTCTACTTGACAATTCTTTCTTTTAACCACTGATTGTAACGGTTCCCGTATTCAGACAAATCAAAGAACATAGTTTCCTTCCTGTTGCCAAAAAAGCTAGATAGTTCCTTCACATATATCATACCACCTTGTACTGAGGAGAAAGCCTTCTTTTCACCCTACTGAGTATTCCTCTGAAAGAAGTAATCAAGGTTCAGAAGGCGGATGTTAAGGTTTCTGGTAAAATCTTGCATACAATTCAACTGGATATCCCCTGGAGAGCATTTATCTGAACCCAACATGCAGTCTCACTGGGAAAGGTTGACTACAAGTCCACTTGACTCAGGAATACTGGTAAGCACCCAGAGAACAGAACAAATTCCTTTCCCAAATTCATGTGTTATTTTTCCAGAAAAACATCAATAAGATGTCAAACTGAATTCAAACGTGAATTCAAGATGAGAAAGAAGTGTGGCAACAAACTTTCACTGCTGGCAGAGGCCACAGAAGTAGTAGGCTGTCTGCAGGCTTAATACAGCCCAACTATTCACTGGGCAGCCTCTGGCACAGTGAAAAGGTCAGACCACTTTGTGGGCAGACACAATGGCATTGTCATAGAAATGCATGGAAGTGGGTGGCCAGGAGAACGTACATGTTTATGAAAGACTTCATTCACTATGATGTTAGGAAATTTTTCATGTCTGAATAGGGAAATGTGCCCTTGATAATCTAGCTACAAAATAGATTTCCTTAAGCAATACACAGAGCACATTACCTCCTGCGGACAGATACATCAAGTCTCTACAATTTGCATCAGGTGGAGTTAAGTTTTTATCTGTTCATCCTCCTTTCCCATGTTAGTCAGGGAGGGCAGCTTTCTCAGTCAGAGATGAGTAAAATCACGTTTCACGATATTAGCATGCACTAGCTATGCTGGAGTGACTTTCTGAAGACATCCAGTAATTTTTTTTGTAATAAGAAATGTTAAACAAGCAAGCCCTCAACATGCTTGTAACATTATTTGAGTTGAGGGCTCTCAGTTCTTTCTAGCACCTCTCTTAACCTAAATGTAATGTATTTTCATTAAAATTATTCAATATTAAAAATACACAGTGCAGCTACTTTATTCCCTTTCATTTAAATCTTCCTTTTTCAACTAATCCTGTGAAATTAAGTCAGTAAAAGCATGAAGATATTTCTCCCGCACTGATGTCACAAATATCCCTGCTGTCCCACACTATTTTAAAAAGAAAACCTCATATTTCACCATAAAAAAACAATAAATTCAGTACCCTGCAAAATTATATTTTCAAAGTCCTTACTCAAGAGTACAAAGTATATTTACTTTAGATTTCTAAAAATATTGTTAACTATGAACGCTGCAGAGGACTAAAAATTTAAGAGTTGGTATGTTTTTTGTCCCTCATAATTTCCTTCCCATCTTACTAGAAATTCTATTTTAAGTTTTGCTGTTAATTACATTTTCCTCTTTAATGAGTCAAATTCACATCCTGGTAAAAGCAACACAGCAATTCAGTATTGCTTGGTGTATCTATTGTGCAAAGGCATGAACCTCTTTGCTGATCACAGACTCACACAATAAAAATACTTTGTCTCACTTCACAGAAATAAAACAACAAACGAGCAGAAAGAAGGATAAGAAATTGGATGTTCTGCTAGTCAAAAAATAAAGATTTAGGTTTAAAAAACTAATGGTCATGAAACAAAATGTTATGGGAAAAATCCTGCACTTAACTCTCGCAATTCATACTAAGCAATCAAATTACATAGTTGGTGTAAGTTGAATTACGTAGTTGGAAGATTTCAAGTCAGAAGGTCACTGCAGCGAGTAAAACTTCCCTTAATTTTTTTTTTCATGTGCTAAACCATCATTTTAAGAAATATTTATTTAAAAAATAAATTTAGAAGATAGCTTTGTCTTAAGGACTCCTTTTTAACTACAAGGCTTTTGAGACGCAGCAAGACAAACACCAATATTCCCACATTTTCTTACCCAAAATATCCAGCTGCCGCAGATGCAGACAGTTGGCAGCCAGCTCCTCAATGTCTGTGTCACACACGGACCTGTTGGCCGTAAGAAAGAGCTTTTGCAAGTTCGGGAGTTTACGTGCAAGGTTTGTGAAGCAGCCTGTACTGCTCTGTAACGTAGGGCACCAGCCAAGATCAAGCTCTTCCAAAAGCTGGCAGCCAGAAGCCAGTTCTGCTATTCCACTTTCAGTTATGTTTTTACATCTCCACAAATCCAGACTGCGAAGCTTTTTGCATTTTGCTCCCATCATACTTGCTATAAGATCATAGTCTTCGATCTGCAGGGAAAGCAAACACTTTGTCATGTGTACCATCTTTCCAGACATACACAGGTGTTTCAGGATTTGCTTGCTAACACACCTACAGATCTGCTTAAGCATTTGTCATTTCTAAAGAGCTCTGAAAATGATACATTGTAGAGTAGAGAGGTCTACTTTTACAAAAGACAAAAATAAAATTTCCTATCAAACCTCATACATAGGTGCCTTTAAATCCACTTAATACTGAGGATATGGGATAACACGGTGAAAAGTTTACTTTCTTTTTAAAAGCCTCCTCCCTTTTTTTATTTTGCAGAGTTGTTTTTCCTTTAAAAGATGATTAAAACTGTTCTTATGACCATAGGCAGTGCAACCATAAGCCCATGCAGATTGAAGAATGTGCTTATTTCCATTCTAGGTTGATCAGTTGCTGCATCTTCTTGTGGAAGTCTTATAGGCAAGCAAAAGGGATCACAACAACGTCCCACTCCAGAGGCAGAAAGAATGAAATCCACTGTCAAAAATCATAGAAAGGCATGGACTGTTGGAAAGAATGTAGTTATACTGCCTTCCTCTTCTTCACACTGCCTGGCAGAAAGAGACCTGGGGGTGCTGGTCAATAGCTGGCCGAATATGAGCCAACAGTGTGCCCAACAGCATCCTGGCCTGTATCAGAAAGTGTGGCTAGCAGCACTAGGGCAGTGATCGTTCCCCTGTACTCAGCACTGGTGAGGCCACACATTGAATACTGTGTCCAGTTTGGGGCCCCTCACTACAAGAAAGACACTAAGGAGCTGAGGCATGTCCAAAGAAAGGCAACAAAGCCAGTCAAGGGCCTAAACAACAAGTCTCATGAGGGTCAGCTGAGGGAACTGGTGTTGTACAGACTGGGGAAGAAGGCTCAAGGGGAGACCTTGTCACTCTCTACAGCTACCTGACATGAGGCTGTAAAGAGGTGGGGGCCTCTTCTCCGAAGTAACAAACAGTAAGACAAGAAGAAATGGCTTCAAGTTGTACCAGGGGAGGCTTAGGTTGGATATTAGGGAAAAAATACTTCACCAAAAGGGTTATCATCACAACAAGCTGTCCAGGGAAGTGGTTGAGTCACCATCCCCAGAGGCATTTAAAAGACATGTAAATGTGACACTTAGGGATGTGGTTTAGTGCTGGACTTAGCTGTGCTGGGTTAACAAAGTCTATGACTCAAACAGCTTCTGCTGAAAATATTTCTCGCCCCGTTATCACTGTAGGGGTCAGACACAAGTGTTCTGCTAGGAAGATGATTTGGTTTACATAAAAGCAAGTCAGTCTTGATGATTAGTTTTGGAACAAAAAAGTGGTCATGCATATAAAGAATGCCCCAAAACTTGGGAAGAGGCAGCAGAACAATGAGAAAGCCTACAAGCTATGTTTTAGGTCTGCTAAAATAGTACGTGAGCCTTAAGTACACCGCTAAGTAGCCCTCATCCTGAACCTTTCGGGAGAGTGTAGTGTAGCACCAACCTAACATTTAACATGTCTTTGCGAGAAGCCCACCCAGACCGAGCCCACCCACGCCCCCCCCCCTCCCCGAGTGGTGTAAGTGCTCACCATGACACAGCTGCCCAGGCTGAGGTGCTGCAGCTCCGAGCAGAAGTTCAGAATACTGAGCAGGGCTGTTTGCTGCCACAGGGGAACACATCAGAAGGAAATATGGAAAGTGAAACAAAGAGAAGAGGTCAATTAGACATTAAAGGCTGTCACTGCATTTCCTGAATTACAGCTCAAAACTCTGTTACAGACACCACAAATGCCACTTAATGAGTCTCTGGGTACTCTGCCCATTGATTGACTTAAAGCAATGGTAATCGTTACAAACCTTTATGCAAGTCACTTTGGATGTGGTTTTGCATTGCCCTGAAGATACCTACATACCCATGACCTATCTGCTCATTTCCCACAGGAAAGCTGCTGAAGAAGTGTGGCAAGTTCAAACAAGAGGCAAGGCCAGCTTGAAAACAGAGGGCTGGCGACACACCAGGAGAAGAGCGGAGGCTCTGACACCCGCTGATAGCCAAAGCCTGATGGAACTGCCAATAGAGCCGCGCAGCGTCGGGACCGAGCCGGTGACTTTAATGTCAAAGGAGTCTCCGTGCTGACAAGGATGCTGACAACCATTGAGCACCTGTCACTAGTAGCATGCGGACTCAGACAGATATATAATGTGTATTTTACAGTCATGTTCCTGCCATTTCACACGGCCACTCTTTTCAGAAAGTACTGCACGTTGCTCAGCCTGAAATTGGACTGGGATGTCAGATGCGTCTTACAAAATGTAAAATACATGGCTGTTCTGCTCCACAACAAGGGAAACTTCACAGGTTTTTATCTGTGTTTCTAAGATGCAGAGAAGACTTCTACGCTGGTTGCTGCCACATTCTGTTTTGTAGTTGGAAATACGCAAAGTGCAAAAAAGAATGTGAGCTGGGATTCGCATCACAAATAGCTGTGCATCCTACTTAAAACATTCATCACTTTGTTAGGGCTTTGTAATCTGTATGAGCTTGAAAATGGGAGTAAGTTCCACAACATATTAACAATAAAAGTCTATGGATTTCTACAGGATATACAAGATTCTGGCAGAAAAAATACCCAAGCAATATACAAAGCTTAAAATAATCTACTGATAATATGTGGAATTCCTACGAGGAAACTATTGAACAGTATTTGTATGCATGAGTAGTATAATTTATACAGTTTTAAAAAAAATATAAATGTACTTGCTTTCAGAAAGTTTACAGTTAAATGCTTTACTGAATTTCCTCAGTTTGTTATATTCTAAGGAAATTTGGCAGGAACATGATCCTTCGTCATACCACTGTAAAGAAATATCTGATCCTTTACACTGAATGGCTGGCAGACACAGAACAGGGACATAGCATGGGGTATTCATGGAGATCATTTCAGACATCTAATTTAGGTGTCTCCAGGGAGCAATTAGAAACACCCAATACTTGACATGTATGGAACCTCAGCTTCCAACTTGGCCTTCTAAGATTTGATTTCCCAAAGGCAGGCTAAAAGTAGATGCTGCGAGTAAGACTTCCTCATGTATCTTTGCAAAGGTCTTAGAAAGCCACTGTCTGCTTGCTTGTTTTACTTTCATTCACATTTTTAAAGGAAAAGGTAGCTAGGGAATTAAATACAAGGGCATTAAAAAGTCATTGTTAAAGAGGTAACGCTGAAGAACACTTTAAATCTCGTAAATGTATAAATATCTAATACACTTTAAATAACGTACTTATTAAGCAAATGCTTCACTTGGATCACTAAACTTGAATAGGTTTAGGTTCTCAAAGAGAATCAGACAGTTTTACCATTGAACTCGGTGAAAGCAATGAGCTGTAGAATCTACTTGACGGCAGAAATTTAAAGCAAAATCTTCAAACCTCTCTCTACAAATCTTAAATATTAGAGATAAATAAATCAGTCTTTGACTGCACACACAGCTCTAAACAGAGTTTCTACAAGTATTCAGGTGACTCCACAGGAAAGCTGGACACCTTGCTGCATTCCACCATGTTTTTTAGTAATGGTTTCTAGACTGGAATTTAACAGCAGAATCTTTCCAAATTTATGCAAACAATACAAAAGTGAACAGTCACTCTGAACAGCGTGTAGGATGTGAGATCAAGTTCATACTTCCTCTTCTTCAGAGAGGGGTGAAATAGGTAGAAAGACTAATATTCATAGTTAGTTTGATTAGGTTAACAGCTACTTTTGTTAACATGAACAGGAATTTGATGCATCTCCAGAATACCTTTTTTAATCTCTCTCTTGAGGCAGTCCTTCCTGTATTGATGTACACCGAAGTCCACAATTTCAAAGGTCTTTTCACAACCTATAAAACCTAAAGTACTATTTTCAGCAATTACTTTAATTAATCAAACAATTTTTTTAAAAAGCACTAGGAATGTGGGCAATGGAAGGGAGCTTGATAGAAAATCATGTCGTACCATCACAAATCATGCAAAGCCAAGCCTAAGAGTAAAAAACTACTTACTCAACATTAATTATATTGCCTATATGAATTCTTCTGGGGCACATATATGCCCCCACACAACAAATCAGATTTCTTTCAGAAGCAGCGTCTTTTCTTCTGTACAGAGGTGGGGTTTGCATATGTCAAGAAAGAAGAAAAAAAGCCTTTCTGCATGCCTAGTTGTACCTCAGTCATTTGAGAATCCAGGTGGCAAAGGACATGAAAATAGCAGGAGAGAATGGCAGCTCACAGAAACCATATGCACCACATATAGAAGGACTATCATTGTAATAACCTGTCTGCTTCAAGCCATCTGCCTGCACAATTCATCTCTCTGCCTGGCAATGCAAGACGAGAGCTAACACTCCCAGTTAAGCAAAGGAGAAGAGCAAGGCAATCACCCAATCCTGAACCTATACCACAGGCCAAATTTCAGATGTTAGTGTGCTTTACAAGAGGAGCTAAGAGGCCACCTAAATTCTAGATCAGCAAGCTTTAACCTGGAGAGGATCTAATTTGATTCTATGATTCATCTTCTCAGCCAAGCAGAGAATACCCATGTAATACCACTCTTGAACCTAGTAGCCAAGACATGTGTAGTCTTGAGATTTCTTGAGTTTTCACTGAACCAAAGGTAAGTGTTGGGGTTTTTGCCCTTTAGAGAGACTGAAAAAAGAAGAGTGGGTGATTTAAAAAATCAAGCAACACACCCCGTGCCCCTCCCCACCCCCAAAAAAAAAAAAAAAAAAAAAACAAACAAACCAACAAACAACCAAACCAATCCTACCCACCAACTCTGGAAACCAGGTAAGAACAGTGGTCTAAATTTCTTCTGCCAACCAAGCCAAAACAAAACCTCCTGAAATATTTTTATCTAAGATAGCAAAGACAACAGGAAGAGTCCAAAGGGGTCAAATAAAACAGTGTACTCTATCTTCCATTCCCAGGAAAGGCATTTTCAGATGAGGAAAGCATACTCTGCAGGAACTGCTCTAAAAGAGAGGACCTTGATGTAAAACCGATCAGAAGGATACGATATGGCTGCTAAACACAGCCTAACAGAGCAGGTTCCAGAAATACTTTAGGGCATGGAAGTGAGTCCTAAACCTCAGAAAAGGGAAGCAGACTGCCTGAAGAGTCTATGAAGCCTTTATGAACAGGTCAGGCAAACATCTGCTAGAAAAGATGTCAATGGAGTTGATCCTGCCTTGGACAAGAGATGAGATTACTGTTTGAAATCCTAACTTACCACATGAGACAGGTGAGTGGTCTGCCCAAACATGAAAGTCCTCTACTCTGTAATAGATGCCAGCCTGGAAGACATTTATGTGTTGTGTATACCTCAACTGAGTAAGTGGTACTGGACTAACTTGTATCCTACCTATCTCTGTAAAGACCTTAGACATCATACTTAAGTTTTGAGTTAGATACTGCAAGAGTGTTGCTGGTTTGAACAGACAGTTCATCAAGGGAGAAATCAAACACTGGTGACAGAGTAATACACTTGGCAAGACGAAATCTTGCTTGACTTTTTTCAGGTATTTTTGCATTCACAGTCTAGCAGGAAGTGCAAATAACTTCTGATGTAGCCTGAGCCTAATATCGGTTCTAACAGAAAACCCTTCTATCTGTTGCAGATATGGCTCATTTGTGAAAGATGCCCTTAGAATATTTGACCATTTACTCACTGCAGTTTCATTGTCAAGTAGTCTGAGATTAAAAAAAAATAAAATACAAAAGGTTTAAAAAAATACAAATGATCCATTATAATACAGCTATCGTGTAACTGCTGCGCTACCATAAAAGGCATGAAAATACTTGCAACACAGTCTGCCTCTAGAAGACTAAAGGAAGAACTTAAGAAAAACAACAAAGTTTTACTTTTTGGGATAGGGAAGAAACAGTCTGCACCTTTTTATAAACTCTCTCTTTATAGAGAAATCTTGAAAACTACTTTTAAAATTGTTACTTATGCTGGGAACAAACAACGGTCTGTTTTTTCCGCTTCTCAGAAGAACTGTCTCTGACATAAGTTGGGAAATCTTCCAGACCCTCAGTGAAATAACTTGAGAGCCTAAATCTTTAACAAGACTTTTATTCTCCTGTATTTTTTTCTTCAAATTCTTCAGTGAAGTGAATGCTGAATGTAATCTTGAAGTCTCACTAAAGACAGCTTCCTCCCTTCTTTACCTATGGTTTCCCTTGCTCGCTATGTTTTTAATCACAGAATTACTAACTCTCCAATTAAATTCCTTGTTCAAGAAAAAAATTAATTATATAGGACTTAAATGTTGAGATTTTAACATTAAAAATTTAAGAAAAAAAAAAAATTCCTTTACTACTTGCCTCCCCCAGCTGCATTATATGAGAGGACAAACAAAGCTGTATTATTTTTTTTATCACTTCCAAATGATGATCCCAACTCTAGCCCTCCCTTCCCCGTCCCCCCCAAACCCTGTTGTCTCCACTTACATTCAAATACTTATAACGTTAGTTGCAGGTAGATATCAGATAACATGCCTGCATTTGCAACTCAGTAGAACGAGAATATTGCATTTTTCCACAATATCAAAGAATTAATATAACAACGTTCCTTAAATCCATAACTTTTTCATATTTCAGTTATCTCTCCATCAAAAAA